TCTTGTCTCTCCTCCAAGGCATAACGATTGTCTCTGTTTGCAGGGTCCCTCTCTGCGCAGCCTGTACTGACTCAGTCACCCTCTACATCTGTCTCCCCGGGAGCCTCAGCCAAGCTCACCTGCACCCTGAGCAGAGAGCACAGCAACTATTACATTGACTGGTATCAGCAGAGACCAGGGAAAGGCCCTCGATATGTGATGTCAGTGGACAGCAGTGGAATGAAAGGATCTAGAGGAGATGGCATCCCCGATCGCTTCTTGGGCTCCGGTTCTGGGGCTGACCGCTACTTGACCATCACTAGCATCCAGTCTGAGGATGAGGCTGACTACATCTGTGGTGTAAATTATCCTATTGGAAGTACATATGGGTAACCACAGTGGCCTAGATAGATGGGGAACTGAGACAAAAACTCTTTCTTGGCCCTACCAAGCCTGACACTTGGCTACAAAAAGTATCTGGTGTCTTCAACCAAACAACATATTGATTCCTTGAAATTTTTCAAATGGAGAGGCAAACCTCTGATGATTCCTGCCCTGGCCTCCCTTGGAACAAGTGTGCTTCAGAGTCCACAAATCTGTATTAGTGATGAAGAAGAAGCCAGAACCTTGTTGCCCTGCTGGTTTTCTACTATGTCACCACATGCAGGATGCAATGATAGTCTTCTCTGCAGTGAAACAATGCACTCTTATACACGCCACAGTCCTGCCTTTGAAGAAAACTCACTTTAGTTCTGAAGTAAGAAATGTAGAAACTTGGTGGCACAGTGAATCTGTGAAACACCTCATAACATGGAAGAACCTGGAGGACATTATACTGAGCAAAATCAGCCAATCACAAAAGGATAAATATTGTACAAAACCATTATTGTAAACAAAAAGAGGTGAGTAGTTCATCTTGCAGTCCAGGAACAGAGAACCTTAGGACCATCAAGGAAGAAGAGCGCCAGCGTAATGCAGGACCCTATCCAGAGAAGTCGCGACACCAGAGATGGAGACAGAGATTGAGGGCATGGAGAGAGAAAGTAGAAGAGGACTCTAGACTCATGGAAAGAGAAAGGCTGTGTGCTGGCAGCCAGGTGCTGGTGGCCAGGGGGCAGGCTTGCAGAATATGTCCTTTGGTTGTTTAAATGATTAAAAATCCTGAGTGTTTTTGTGCACATCCTGCCACTCCCCACAAAATCAAAACAAAACAGAGGAAACAGAAGTAAATACAATTGAATTATACTGCACAGAGGAGATTGTAATCATTGCAATGAAACAATGAGTGTAAAGCTGATGTTTCCCCATGTAAACTATCACTCAATTCACAGTAAAAAGTTTAAAACACAGGATAATGAATACTCTAAAATCACAACAAAAAAAAAAGGTTAAGAAAATATATCCAGACTAAAATGAACATACTTTAATGATTATGAGGTGTGGGAGGGAACGGAGAGTAAGTCATGCACTAGTGAGTAGACACGTCAGCTCAGATGTGACGGGGAGGGCAATACAAAGGAAGAGTGGGGAAGGCAGATGCATAATGAAGATAGGGGAAGACTCAGGGAAATATGTGTGGGCTTAAGGGAAGAGAGGTAAATAGTGATATATACACAGCCCTGAAACAACAATGTCCTTTATGTAAATACATGGGTTGACTCATAAACTCAATGGGTCAGAAGGGGATGAGTGGGAGATGTATACTTATATATCCCACACATATATAAGGTTTTGAAAGGAAAAAATAAAGTAAACTTTGATGATTTCCAGGAGTGGGAGGGAAGGGAGTGTAGTTCACTGCCTGGAGCACAGACACATGTTAACTGGGGTGACTGGGAGGGCACTATATGAGAGGAACAGTGGAAAGTGTTGCATTAGGCCAATCTGCTGCGCAAGACATTTTTTGTGTTTTTTTTGTGTTTTTATTGTGGATTGAGTGAAAGTTTACAGGGCAGATCATCAGTTTTACTTTAACAAATCCTACACTTTGTTTCATTACAATGATTATAATCCCCTCCAAGTAACATCAGTTAACAGTATTTCTCTCTATTCACTGTGAGCTCTTTAAAAAACAAACAAACAAACAAACAAACAAAAAACACTGAGGCATATTTAATAATGTGTACCACCAAAGGGAATATTGTGCAAGTCTGACTCTTGGTCACCATCTCTTAGTCCCTCTCTTCCCATGAATCTAGAGTCCTCAGACACTTCCCCTCTCCAGGTCCTCATCTCTGCTGTCGCTGCTTTTCTGGATAAGGGCCCGCATTCTGCTTGTGCTCTTCTCCCTTGATGGTCCTAGGGTTCTCTGTTTCTGGACTGTAAAATTAATTATTCCTCTGTTTTTGTTGCAAAACCTCTACCTTTAAATTGTGACAGTCGCAATTAATCATGATGCCAATTACTCGCTATTGAATCATAAGAATCTTATCCCCATCTCTTTTAACCAGACCTGTCTACACAAGATGAAAACTATTCAGTGGGGACTCTTTCTTCCCACACACACTCTTCAACTAAACCCCTTTTTGAAACTTTTAAGCCAGTCACTTTTTGCCTTTATTACCCCCTCATTTAAGTAGCCAATGTCTAAGTTGACTGTCTCTATCTACTCTGTGTACAGAGGGGATAGACTTGATACTTGATGTGAAGACTGCTTCTTTCTCTGTTGGTATTTAGGGTACAACCTCCATGAGTATAGGTCAAGTTCATCACATTGTAGCAATTTACCCTCATTTCCTTTATCAAAAATACTTTGGTTCTTTTTTGTTTGTTTGTTATCTTGCTCTAGTCAAGTTCTGATTATCAAGCCATTGAGGCTAAGTCAAATGGGTACTGTCTGCATAAGATCAAATGGGTGATTTTATGCATCTCCTCTCAGTTCATATCAGCTGGATGCTTCAGTTTCAGTTAAGACTTCTGTGACTATGTCCTTGTCCATAGGCTCAGGTGTCCCTAGACAAGACCTTTTTAAAGTGTTGAAGAGCAAAGAGGTCAGCTTGAGGACTAAGGTGCACCTGGGCCAAGCCATGGTATTTTCTATAACCTCATATGCATGTGAAAGTTGGATAGTGAATAAGGAAGAGTGTGGAAGAATTGATTCATTTGAGTTATGGTGTTGGAGGAGACTATTGAAAGTGCCATGGGCTGCCAAAAGAACCAACAGGTCTGTGTTGGAAGAAGTGCAGCTAGTGTACTCCTCGGAGGCCAGGATGGCCAAACTTCATCGCTCATACTTTGCACATATTGTCAGGAGGGACCAGTTGCTAGAAGAAGGATATCATGTTTGCTAAGGTGTTGTAGGCTTAGAGAAAAAGAGGAAGACCCCAAGCAAGATGGATTGGCAAAGTGGCAAAATCAATGGGCTCAAGCATGGGAACATTCGTGAGGCTAGCCCAGGAACTGGCAGTGTTTCGTTCTGTTGTGCATAAGGTCGCTATGAGTTGGAACTGACTCGATGGCACCTAACAAAAGCAACAACAATACATATATATTTTGTTGTTAAGTGCTGTTGAGTTGGTTTTGACTCATACTGACCCTGTATAGGGTTTCTGAGAGCGATTAGTAAGTTTGTTCCACTGATCCTGCAGTTCAAATCAACCTTGCGGTCCAGTGCTTATCCAACTGTGCCATAACAGTACTATATCACACAGATATATATGAGATTGAAAAAGGATACTGGTACATAAGTATTTACCTTTCCTGCAAACACAACTGTGAATGTGGTGAAGCATACTGAAAGCAAAATGATGAAAACTTATTAGATATTATTGTCACCTCCAAAGGACACAACATTCTGTCCTTGGGCAGGGAGTGAACAGTGGTCAGGACAGTGGTAGAGGAAGAAGCCTCTGTCGAGATCACCTGTCATCTGGTCACAGACATTGATGGACATGACTTGGGCATCAGGGAGCACTGTAGGCATGCTGCTTAGGGTCTGTATGGGGCTCTCAGCTGGTCTCTATTCAGGACTCACTGCCTAGAGACTGGGTCCTCTCTTGCTCCTGAGGAGCAACCCAGGTCCAGCTTCCCAGAAATGACACTCAGCCACTGGAGATACACACAGGTTCCAGAGAGCCAATGGTTGGACAAGAGAAAAGGAGCACATTAGCATGAAGGTCCCTCTCTCAAGAAACAGCAAAAACAAAGAAGAGAGGTAGCAATAGTAGATTTTCTTCCCTACAGTTAAATTTGTTGTTGTTGTTAAGTGCCGTTCAGTCAATTCCGACCCATAGTGACCCTGTTAAATAGGAAATAAATAATTCTTTCATAAGGAAGATTTCAAACTGAAATTAGATTGAGGAATTGTTCCCGTTATTATTGTTCTTAAATCAAATCCATTCTGACTCATAGTGACAGTTTTACTGTTAACCTTATATATATAAGATTCCCGAGGAGAGGAGTGGCAGGTGAGTTTGAAAGGGCTTATTCTACAGCGACACACCAGGAATCCTGGGATTTTTCCCTGTTGTTGATGTTAAATGCTAGTGAGTTGTTTCAGAGGCATAGCAACCCTGTATAGGGTTTCCAATAAGCAACTGTGAGCTTGAACCACCAACCTTGCAGTTCAAATGATTTTGCAGTCTGACACATTACCCCACAGTGCCACACCAGGACTCTCTAGCACATGCAAAATGAAGGAAATGGACTAGAATATCCTAGAGAAATACAAAAAGTGCCAGTAGATACAATGGGAAATACTATTATTGTTGTTGTTGTTGTTAAGTGCCTAGAGTCGGTTCCAACTCATATCAACTTGTATAGGGTTTTCAAGGAGCAGCTGGTACGGACCTTGCAGTTCAAACCATCTTGAGGTCAAATGCTTATCCTACATAGCCACACCAGGACTCCATACACTTAGGCAAATATGGAATAGATAAATTAAAAGTGAAAGTAAAATGAAATTTGGACAAACAGGAACTTATAAAACTATTCATCTATCTGATGTACATGAAAGAAACAATTAGAAAAATATTAGTTTGTATCTTGTGTTTCATATGCTTTTTCACTTATCCCAAGTTGATAGCAAAGATCTATTACAAACTACGTGATCATTTTCTTCTCTGTTTTGGAGTCAGTTTACAAAATTGAACTCACCTTAGAAGGAAAGAAGTAAAGAGAAGTAAAATACCTTCAAGGAGAAAGATGCTGCAGAAAGAACAGGGATGTCTATGAATGAATACCTTGGAGTCCTGCTGTGGCACTGTGGGTTAATGCTCTGGATCAAAATTTGGTTTGACCTTTTCGCAACGGGTTTGCCGCCAGAATACAGGTGTTGGTGAAAACCATCGCAAAACCTAAACCAAAATGGGAAAGGAAAAGACCCATATCAACATTGTCGTTATTGGACACATCGACTCCGGCAAGTCAACCACTACCGGTCACCTGATCTACAA